GAAAATGATTACTTAAAAAATCTATTACAAAATCTTGCTTAGAAATAGGGTGACAGAATCTAATTTCTTCCACATTTTGAAAACCAGGATATCATTTCCACTTTTCCTATCTTCTAATCTCTCACTTGTTCTCCCTGATTTCCCAAAGATTCCCCCCCACCCCCCCGAGTTTCACTCATGTAGTGCCTCCATCCTTCCAGGGCCTGGTGTGTAATCTTCCCAGCAAAGACTTGTGTTCCTCTGAAGCAGTGTTGTCTCTTCCCAATACCACTTCTTTCTGGGCTTCCACTGTACCTTACTCGGACTCAAATCTCAAACCATTCTTTTCATAAAGCAGCAAAGTAAGAAAGTACAAGTTATATTTCCTTTCAGCCATCTGTCCATATCACTGTTAGCCTGAATGCAGAGCTGCCTCCTCCTTATCATCCTGCACCACAAACATCTAAAGATAGCTCCTGTTGTCTTTGGGATTGCTAGGGAATCTGTCCTCATCTGAATGACTATTTCTTTTGAAGAGTGTGTTAACAACCAGTGAAAACTTCCTGTCCTTTGCAGTGGGCATGGCCCTTGTGGATCCTGGTGTAATGTAACTCAGAACCCAGGTACTAATTAAGATCTCAAGGATCTTTTGCAATGTAGCTTTAGCTTACATTGAGTCTGAGGTGTCTGTGAGGCCTCTGAGTGAAGAGGCTGTGTATACAACTTATTTTGTATATACAATTTATTCTATTGGCTTGGGGTTGGATATATGCCAATACAAATACATCCCAAGAGAAAGATTTCACAGAGCATTTATGAGTGTAATGAGCCCACTATTTTTCTCTCTCTCTTCCTAGTAGCTGCTACACCTCTCACAAAAGAAGAGAAAAGATCTTGATCTTAAGTTGTCCAGTGCCCTTGTGTCATCTTCGCAGCACCATGATTTATAAAACAACCAAATCTCTGTCCAGTCTCCTCACCACGGCACAGTGGTGAATGTCTACATTTCTATGTAACATCCCCAAATCATTGCTGTGGACAGTCAAAAGTAACTAGTTGTGATGATATCAAGAACCGAAAGGAAGTCTATTTCCAATATCTTGATAGGAATGAAATTAGATATGTTAATAACTGTGGTGCCCTTCTTTGTCCTTGTCCCAGAATCCACTGCTCTCCATTCTTGTGATGGAATTGCTTTCCCTATGGAGAAAGAGCTTCTTAATTATCAGGTTGCCCCAATGAGGAGGAATAATTCTCCAGATAAAACCTAACCCTGGCTCATTTCCTTCATTTGTCATTTGTCAGAGGCTGGTTCTGACTCTCCTTTATATTGTAGGAATGAGTCTGCTAAGACCAGAGCTGAACCTGGAATGTAGAGGCTGTGGGAATTAGTAAGGAAGAACTGTATTTCCTCAAGGGTGAGGCCATGACTGTTCTTATACTACCCCTAGCCTTGAGTCTGCATAGAGTAGATGTTTTGATTAGTCTGCTCAAGCTGCCTTAACATAATGCGACAAACCTGGTGGCTTAAACCACAGAAATTTATGTTCTCACATGTCTGGAGGCTAGAACTCTAAGATCAGGGTGTGGTGGGGTTAGTTTCTTGTGAGGGTTTTCTTCCTGGCTTACAAACAGCTAGCCACCTTCTTTCTCTGTCCCCTCAGGGCCTTTCCTCTGTGTGGGTGTAAAGGGAGAGTGCTTACAGGTATCTCTTCCTATTTTATTTAAGGACACTAATCCTCTTGGTTAGGGCCACACCCTTATTAAATTCTTATAGGCCCTATTTCCAAATACAACCACATCAGGGGTTAGGACTTCAACATATGAATTTTTAGGGGGACATAATTCAGTCCATAATAGTGCACTATTCATATATGTGGGATATAGCAGTTTGTGACTAGTGGATCTTTGATTGATTAAATGGATGAATGACTCCGTGATTAATTTTTGGTGGTCAGTTGGAAGGAGAAGAGACTTGAAAAGAGCAGGAATTTCCTCTAAGGCCCCTCAGAGCAGTTCTGAATCCAAAAGGATCCTGTAACTTCAACTGGTGGGTCTCTGCATCTCTCCTGTCCCATTTACTGGAGACCAGTAGGTTCATGTAAGGGATTAATGAGGCCACAGATATGGGTTTCAATCCATGTGGACCAGTTAATTTCATTCTGAGAAAGGCTATTCCATAACCACAGCCAATAAGCATTAGGTATTAGGAGAGAGACATGGACAATTTAGAATAACCCAGACACAAACATTTAAGCTCATCTAGTATTCCAGCACTGAACTGCCACTATCAAACAACACACAAAGCAGGAATGCCACACAGGGTCAGAATGCAGATATTTTTCTTTGCAATGGAAGTCCTCATTCTAAATATCAGAGTGGAAAATTTGGGTTCATATTAGTCTTATAACCTCTTAAAGCTAATCTTTAAGTTGTGTAGTATATGTTCAGGGAAAAATTTAAGAATAAATAAAAAACATCAGAAGAAATGAAATCACCCACAAAATTTCTTGACACCTTAATAAAATTGTTCCTAAGCTTTTCTTTTACATACTTGAATTGCATTTGAGAGCTTTTCAAGAGACATATATGCATTTCCCACATTTAAATGCACATTTATAAAATAATTTTCAAGGTCTGTATAACACTCCATCTAGAAGATGTGTAGTCAGATGCATCCTGTGGATATATGTGGGATTTATTACCAGTATATATACAAGGTAGCAGGAAATATAAATTTGCTTTAACTCATAGTTTACATACAGAATTTTATGTTTCATTAGCCAGGATTGGCATAGTCAAAAGAACACATAATTCAGCCTGCCTCTTCTCAGTTGGATAATTAAAAAATGAGTTATTTCCTTTTCTTTCCAATCAATGAGGATTTGGTGATGAGATGACTAACAAAGTACACAGATGGTCCTCCCCACAAAGGCTCTCTTCTCATCATTACTTCCTATAACATGCTGAATATCCCCCAAGAACTCCCCATACATGCTATTGGTCAGCTAGATACAGGGCTCTCATACACATTACACTCTGTTAGTAATTTCTTTCCTGGTACACAGACCTACCAAATGCCAATTTTCTGACAAATTACATTATGGACTTCAATTTTATAGTCACTTTCGAGAAAAATAAATATCAATAGAAAATTCACCAAAAAGTGACATTCTCCATGAGGGCAGCATATTTTTTCTTGTTTCCCTGTGTCTCTCTTTTACATTTATGCTGGCCCTGGATTATGACAGAGTCGATGTGCCTTAGGTGGAAATTTAGGGGCAAGAAGGCGAGGGAAGGCACCAGAGAACTCATTTTCCTTGAATGCTTACCACAATGCACTAAATACTGGAAGAAGTGCTTTATATATTTTATTATATGTAATACTAATCATAGGAGTCAGGGATTGTGTTTTTAAAATAAGAAAACTGAAACCCTGGCCAGGTTATAGGTTGGATTACTGGTCAGGATGCATGCCCCGGTTCCTGGCTCAATCCCTAGTAGAAGGCCTGCAGGAGGTAGAGAGGATGTTTCATTCTCACATTCATGTTTCTCTCTCTCTCCCTCTCCTTTCTTTTCTCTCTAAAAATAAATAAAAATTAAATAAAATAAAAAAAAAGAAAACAGGATATATATGAAATGATTACCATGGTGAAGTTAATGAACTCATATGATTACTTTTTTGTTTGTTTTGGTGAGAACACTTAAGATCTACTCTCTTGGCAAATTTCAAGTATTAAATACAGTGTTATTAGCTGTGGTTACCAGGCTATCCATTTGAGCCTTACTCATTTTATAACTAAAAGTTTGTACCCTTTGACCATTATCTCCTTATTTGCCCCAGTCCCAAGCCCCTGACAACCATCATTATACTCTCTACTTCTGTGAGTTTGACTTTTACCCCCTCAGATTCATATGTAAGTGAAATCATACAGTACTTGTCTTTTTCTGTCTGGCTTATTTCACTAAGCATAATACCCTCCAGGTTTATCCATGATGTTGCAAATGGGAAGATTACCTTATTTTTAAAGGCTGAATAACATTCATTTATCCATCGATAGGCACTCAAGTTGTTTTCATAGCTTGGCTGTTGTGAATAATGCTGCAATGAACATGGAGTGCAGATATTTCTCTGAGATACTGATTTTACTTCCTTTGGATGTATTCCTAGATATGGGATTGCTGGATCATATGGTAGTTCTAATTTTAATTTTTTGAGGAACCTCCATATACTAGCATCCATAATGGAAGTAACCATTTACAATCCCACCAACAGACAAGGGTTCCCTTCTCAATGCAGTCTCGCCAATATTTGTTCTCTCTTGTAAATTTCTCGATCTTCAAAGAATTTTATAGCCAAAAGGTTTTTCAATGCTTTTTCTGCAAGTTGGCACCATACACCTCTAACTCTGTAAGTAAAGGAAAGCTCCTCTAAGTTATATAGCGAGCTTGTTGCTAGAAACTCAACAAGCTGCAATATGTTTTATTACATTGATAACTCTGGTCTACAATATTTATGCTTACATAAGAATATAAGCTTTTGGATTTTCTTTGTGCAGGTTTTAATCTTCCAACTACATGTAGATGCTCCCAACTACAAGAAACAGGGGACCTGAGTCTAAGCCAGGAAACAATGGCTTTTCTGTCCCATCCAGGAATGAAACCATGGAAGGAATTTTACACATTATTTAAATTGTTGTCTCTCTCATTTATTCAATTCTTTCTTTTTTGCATGAGTGTCAAGTTGAATTTATCTAATCTTAATTAAAGTCACATTAATCGAACTCCTCTGCATATTCAACTTGATACATAGCTATTGGACACCTTCTTAATCACACTTGACCATCCGAGGGGAACTGGATGAAAGGATGGCAGAAAGCCCTGGTGATCATAAGGGTGCAGTGAACCCTTTCATTTCAGATCAGAAGAATGGCAGCAAGTCACCAAATGACATGTCAGATGATTAAGTTAGTTCAACTTTGATAATCTTTGATGATCTCTTTCTCTCTTTCTCTCAACAGGCTGGTCCATTCAGGTCCAGGGAAAGGATCTCCCCAGGCTGGTGTGGATCTGTCCTTTGCAATACGAACGGGTACCAGGCAGGGGATTGAAACGCATCTCTTCAGAGCTGAAATCAGCAGGGACCTCTCCCACTGGACCAGGAGCATAGTACAGGGCTGCCACAACTCAGCCGAACTCATTACCGAAGTCACTACAGGTGAGCACTGTTGGCCACGGGCTCCCCATGTCACACTCTCACAGGAAAAATACACCCTCTACTTCACCCTGGCCTCAAAGTGGCCTCCATTCCTAGCCTTTGGGGATACTTAAAATGTCAAAGGGAAACTTAAAATCTAAATTTTACCATATGCCTTCCTGAACTGGAGCCTAAGAGTTTGACTGTGAAAAGCCTTATTCCATCTTCATTCAAGAAAAGTTCTGATTTGGCAAGTCAGATACAGTTTCCTGCCTATACCCTAGGTGGCTTAATGGAGGCATGACCTTGAAGGCATCAACTAGAAGGGTTCTTGTTATAAACAACAGAAATCGATTTTGAGTATTTTATCACAGGATATAATCATTGAAAATATATTAGGTAGCTCACAGAACTGATCAGAAAACAGGACAACCATTCTCTAAGAAAAAAGCCAGAACCAAAGGCAACTCAGTGGGGGAAGCAGAGCAAAGGGTTGATGCTTAGGGACAGTCAGCATTCACTCCTGCCCCTGGTATAAAAGAATAGGCAAGCCAGATGGAGGGAGCACAATCACATTCTTGTAGTGCACTAAGAAAGGACAAACTAGAAATGGGACATGTGCACAGAAGGAAGAACCCTTCTATACTGTACTAAGGATTGAGAACTTGCTATATGCAGGTAATTTATATAAGGTCTTTTAGTATTTCTCATTCTGTGAGAAACAACTCTTTTGGGGCCCTAAAATCAACTGATACAATACCAACATTTTAAAAATGAAATAATTTGGAATAGAAACATCAGTGTAAATCTATTTGGGTTGTGTGTGTATATGTGTATGTGTGTGTGTCTCCTAGGTCACAATGCACAGCCTCCTCTCATCTAATAATCCTCACAATTCTCTTGTCTTTGTGATTTTAAAAGTCAGAAAGCAAATTCTTAAGTAACTTGCCCAAGATCACCCACCTAATAAACAACAGCACTGACTTTAACTCTATGTTGTGTCTCTCTCAAGTCCATTCTTCATTCTACAGAGCCATGGACCTTCTCACTGTTCTGTCATTGTTTCCAAAACAATAGTTCTGTTCAGACTGCTGTGATAAGTAACTTTTCATGCCAATCTCCAACCCATACCGATAGGTAGGCAGGTAGGTAGGTGATAAATAGATGAGATAGATAGATGATAGATAGATAGATAATAGATGATAGATAGATAGATAGATAGGTGATAGATGATAGATAGATAGATAGATAGATAGATAGATAGATAGATAGATAGATAGATAGAAAACACATGCTGCAAAGTCTTCTACATCTGCTAAGGTTGACTCCTTATTTAAGCCAGTGTTTTTCATCAGCCAGCACGACATACAGTTAACACTACCTATAATGCCATTGTTCCTGACTCTGAGCTCTAAGACAAATTGTTTCTGGTTCTGAAGTTCAAGACCACCTTTGTCTAAGTCTTCTGTGGTCACTCATAAACAGGCATTAGGTGACCCAGTGTGGAGTATCTCAACCGTCTTCCAGTAAACCCAACTTTGAGAGTTCTTCTTATAACATTCTCAGCACACCCTCTTCTCTGATGATTTCTTTCATTTTTCTCTGTCTTTGAGAATGTAGCACAAGGTACTAATCACAAGTGTGGGTTTTAAAGTCAGAATGGCCCGGATTCAAATTCCAGCTCTATTTCTTTCTCAATCTCTTACTGAAAACCTCGTAGTTTTTCCCATCTTTAAAAAGGAAGAAATCATAGTACCTCAAAGGGTGAAATCAAGAATTGAGAGAAATAATCCATGTAAAATACCTGGTACTTGGCATGTAGTAAGTGCTCCCTAAGAATCATCAGTGGTTTCTCTTGTATTTCTCCAGACCTATGTGGGCCAGTATGCTAGGCTCTAGTCATGTGTGGCTATTTAAATTGAAATCAATTAAAATTAAATAAGTGTCTCAGTCACACTAGCCACACTTCACGTGCTCAACCGCCACTTGTGCCTAATGGTTACTACATTAGACAGTGGAAATCTAGAGCCTCTCTTTTGTGTTGGGAAGCCCCACAGTACAGCTCTGCTCTTAAGGATTTCCCACGTGACATGATGGGTACAGTGTTTATGAACCTTAGCTGTGCTGAAAACGGCAACAAAAACAATGTTTTTAAGTGCTATCCTCAAAAGCCTCAGATTGCTGACTCCCACCTTCAGAAAAGTTGATCCCAGCAGCCTGGGGTGAGGCCTGAGCACTTGGGTCTAACGAAGTACCAGGTAGCGCTGATGCAGTGTACTGCACTGTGGTGCAGCTTCCCCCTGCACCCAGGAGTATTCGAAAAGATGGGACACCCATCAATGTGTAGCAGGGTTTCTCCACACTTACTCCATTCGTGCAAATATGAAAAACCAATTATTTTGTAGAATTTTTGCTGCGTCTCCAAGCTAATTGATCTTTTTGAAATTATCCTGAAACAAATGAATGCCCCCCAATATTCTCCACCATTGTTGAAAACCTTTTTTGTCACTGAATCTTATTTAAGTATACATGCTTATTCTGCAAAGCAAGAAAAACTGGAGTTTTTCAACCCATGAGTAGGAAAAGTCCTAAGCCACCTGGAAATAGAATTAAATGAAGTTTTACATGCAATATCAGAGAAGTTCAGACTCCTTGAAAGCATAAAGATGGCCAAAGGGATCTGGTTTAGTTGGCATTCCACAAATTCCATAAACTCCTTCTCTCTCAATAAACAGAACTCTATTTCAATGGGACAACAATGAAGCTTTGGTATACCAGCCAAAGAAGAATAACACGGGCTTGTGTGGCCTGAGCTAGCTGGGTGCTGGGAGAAAAGAGAAGGTGGCAACAAGCAAAGGTGCGACCTGACTACAAATTGAAAGATGCCTGCAGAGTTGGGCAAAGGGTTTTAGGTTTTAATCAGGGTTTCCATTAACTTGCTAATGTGTTCAATTTATCCTGGGTAGGTGGAGAGCATCTTCAGGTAACTAATTCTATTACATAAAGGCCATGAATGCCATTTGAAGTCAACTAGAATTAAAAATAACCACAACCAGTCCATTCAGAATATCTGATGGCATAACTTCAAAATTCCAACATAGAGGAAAGGGAAAAAGAGAAACCCAGAGTTAGAACCCATTCACACACATATTCTGCAGGTGGTAGAAGTGTAAACTGTAAAAAATGAGGATTCGAGATGAGAAGCCATAAGTATGTCTACCACTATCCTTGGTTATCCTCGGACCTGATGGGGGTGGTAGTGGTCTAGGGCCTTTCTAAGAAGATAACAAGGCCTAGTGAAGGGCTCAAAGACAATAGAGAATGTGCCTTTGGAAAATATCAGCCCTTAGTTGCAAGGTGAACGCTGCCTGGGGTAAATCGGAGGAAGGGGTTTGTGTGCTAACTGAGCTTTGATTAGGAGCCACCTCATTCTGTGAGCTCATACAGAGAGAGTTCTGTTCCTCTCTCTGTTCCAGACATTCTGCAGGTCTCCGCCACCCCACTGTTGTTAGTACTCTGAGACGCCAAGATCCCTCTCCACATCCCTCTGTATCCTGAGTCCCAGAGTGTGAGAAGATACATGGCACAAAGTAGAAAGACCTTGAATTCTAAAATCTAAGCCACCTGAGTTGTGGCAAGCTCACCACTCTAATCTTCGCATTTTTTTTTTTTTTTTGCTTTTTTTTTCACCTGTACAATATCTAGCTAAGGTCCTGCAACAGAAGAGTGTGGGAAGTAAAATTCAGTTTGGTTTATAATGCAGAGCTAAGCTAGTGTTTGGTATAGAGTGCTCAATCATGCCCTTGTTCTGCTCTTCCGAAACCCCCTCCCTCAAGGGCTCTCACTTGTTTATGGAGGCCTGAGTGGGTCTGCTTGCCAGAGTCTGTTAAATGTGGTGGTTTGTGATAATAAATAAATAAATAAATAAATAAATAAATCCAGCCGATACTTGTTAACCTTTCCAGAACTCTTTGGTCAAGGGTTTTAAATATCCTCAAGTCTTCCTAACCTAACGGGAACTCGGATTCTGAGGGCAGTCCCTTCACCAGCTCAAAAGCTCAAAACACAAGTCTCCTTCCTAAACGCAATGAGCACAGCACCACAGAGGAAAGCCGGCACCTCACCTGATCCAGAGGTTTCAGTTTTGTTCCTTTGGGTCAGAGGACACCATGCGGGCAGCACCTGAGGTTCCTGGATGCCGCACGGGGCAGAGGAAGGACACAGCCCTCTTCATGCACCGGCCACACCTGATATCTATCAATTACAACTGCCTTTCCAGGGCCAAGGTCATCCGCTCACTGGGAAATTTAAAAAGGCACTCCTTTTATAAAATGAGCTCGGTTCAACTTTCTTAAAAAAAAAATTTAATTATTTTTGAACAACTCACTCCTGACTTCTTACGTATGTCAAATTTGTAAATGTTGGTGATGTACATAATGCGTGTGTGTGTGTGTGTGTGTGTGTATGATGATCATAAAGATGATTCAGAGGTAGCTTATTCTAATTCAGATGTCAGTTTTTTCAGTCTTGAGACAAGGACTCTTATGTGTCGTATGATGGACAGATTAGGGCTGGGGACCAGATAAAATTCAGTAAATCCCAGCAAATGGGATTTCTTCCCGTTTATTTCCTTTAGTTTCACTGAGCATGTTAAATTACAAGATCAAAATCAACCCAAGGAGAATATTTTAATGAACAATTATTATACTTATTTTTAACTTCAGAAATAAATTTGGGGTTGGTCACTGGGACTGAGGAGAGTTGAAATGTAAGTGCCTGGGAAAATGGGTTGCCTTGCCGAAACTGGTTTGGCTCAGTGGATAGAGCGTCAGCTTTCGGACTAAAGGATCTAGGGTTCAATTCAGGTCAAGGGCATGTACCTTGGCTGCAGGCACATCCCCAGTGGGGGTTGTGCAGGAGGCGGCTGATCAGTGTTTCTAGCTCTCTATCTCTCTCCCTTCCTCTCTGTAAAAAATCAATGAATATGAGTTGCCTTCTGTAGTTCATCTCTCTCTTCCTCTCTCCCCTCAGCTTGCACCTACAGAAACCAGGAATGCCGTCTGACCATACATTATGACAATGGATTTTCTATTACCACTGAACCACAGGAGGGTGCCTTTCCCAAGACAATCATACAGGCCCCATATGAAAAGTTGAAAATGTCTTCAGATGATGGAATCAGGATGCTGTATTTAGATTTTGGAGGCAAAGATGGAGAGCTGGTAAGTGCCCTTTTCTTTAGAAAGTCTGATTTCCTTTATTTCATTATGCAACACACCTATAATGGCTTGCAAACATAGTGCTGCCTTGTATTTATTTAGCATTTGACTATTTAAAAAGTACTTGCAAGTTCATGTCTTTCTTTTTCTTTTAAATATATATGCTTTTTATTTCAGAGAGGAAGGAGCAGGGAGAAATAGAAACATCAACAATGAGAGGAAATCATTGATCGGCCTTCTCCTGAAAGCTCCCTCGTGGGGATGGAGCCCACAACCCGGGCATGTGCCCTTGACCAGAATCAAACCCAGTACCCTTCAGTCCTCAGGCAGATGCTCTATCCACTGAGCCAAACTAGCTAGGGCCGGGTTTATGTCTTATTCAATCCTTAAAAAACCGATCAATCCAATTTTTCCAGTTATGTTAGTCTTATTTTCACTAGAATACTACATAAATATTTGAATCCAAGGAAATAATCCTTTATGAAGAAAGCATTAAATGATGCTCAAACATAGCTTCAAAATGTACATCATTTTAAAAAAGTATCAAGCATCTCCTCTAGCATTGGCATTGTGCTGTCAGGGATGCAGAGATGTGAAATAGCAGGTCCTGGTCACCTGGGAGGTCCCACAGGAGCAGAGGGCATAGAGCACTGAGGCTGGAGGAGCTGGACCAGGGAAGATTCCAAGCCATAGCGGAAAGGGCCAAAGGCCTAGAAGTTTGGGTGGAGGAGGGGATGTGAAATGTCCAACAAAATGCAAATTTACCAATGCAGAAATCATGCTTTTCATAACAGTGCAAATAGTCCCTATGTTTCAATCTGTGATTTTCTGTGATTATTACCACCTGCTGTAAGTAGAAAGTACATTAGTTCAGATTCACTGAAGGGTGAGAAATGCCCTTCCTTCTATTTTTCTAGTAAGTGTCATTCTTGAGATTTCTCTGGAAGACATAGCATCTCATTTAAGCTGTGGAATGTAGATCAAAGAGGACCTTGATTTTGTAATAACTAGTCTCAATTTGGGTCCTTCCTAGTCACTGGATTAGTCAACAAATATGTATTGACTTCCACTTGATAACAGGGGTGGGGAATACACAAAATTCAGAGATAAATCTCAATTTAAAAGATGCAGGAATTTCACTTGGCCAGTGTGGTTCAGTGGTTAAGCATCAACCTATGAACCAGGAGGTCACAGTTCAATTCCCAATCAGGGCACATGCTCAGGTTGTGGGCTCGATCCCCAGTGGGGTGTATGCAGGAGGCAGCCAATCAAATATTTTCTCTCATCATGTTTCTCTCTCTCCCTCGCCTTTCCTCTCTGAAATCAATAAAAATATATAAATATATTTTTAAAAAGGTCCAAGAATTTCAATTCAGCTACTGGCCTCCCCACAATCCATTCTTTCCCACCCTCATCTCTCTAGTTATTTAATTGGTAATTCTTTGAAAACCACTGAGGGCTGACTGAAGGAAAGGGCCAGAACCACTTAAAAGAGCTTAGGGATCTTTAATCCTAAAATTCAGCATCACTATTCTAGAACAAGCCCTACTACTAGCCCTGACAGAATATCAGACTTCTTCCTAGGGCAGCCATAGGGAGTCATGATGAGTCCTCACCCTATGGCTGACAGGTGATCTACATTCACTTTCTGAGGACACTTTCCAGCCAGCCATTTTTCTAACTTTGAAAATGGATCCACAGCATTTTATAGGATATTTTGTCACTTATTTGTGTTTCAGTCAGTAAATTCAGCCCGAAGCACCAGTTGGGAAATGAGAAAGTGATCCGAAAGTCCATTTTACTAAGAACCCTCCTGGCTCAGCTGCTGTTCTGCCAATCACCCAGCCGTGTGCTTTTCCCTAGAAGACTCGAAAAGAACAAGAACCTGTCTCCTGCTTTACCCTTGACTTGAAAATTCAAGGCTATTTTTGCCTGTGAGGAAAATCACTTGTCTAAATGTCAGCCTTCCTGCCTGTAATTACGACCTGACTTGGAAGACTTAGGAAGGACTGATTTTCTGCCAGTACATGAGGCTGATAAGCTCAAGTTCTCAGACAGCTCCCCCAAAGTGTCCGGTTAAGCAACCCCAAGAAGCAGGCAGTGGGCCTTTGGGGTGGGGGAAGGGAGCAGAGAAGAGTTGTGGGAAAGCCAGGAAGGTGAGGGTCAAGAGACACGTGTCCTCTAAGTCTGGAGTCCGTCACCACTGTCTTGGGCAGTCCTCCTATTGCTTTGAATCTGAGCCTCCCCATCCATTAGATACAGGGACTGCAGTACATAATCTTTAAGGTGACTTTCAGAAGTTTTGTTCTGTTGGTGAAACGGAATATGGTGGTGAAGCCCTTACTCTGACATCAGATAGACTTGCCTTTGAGCCCACACTTTCTCTGTACGGCATGATTGATGATCTCAGAAAGCTTTATAACTTCACCCAAATCTTAAGTTTCCCCTAGACGTCATAGCAATCACAACAGCTACCTCACAAGATTTTGTGAAAATGCAATGACAGCATATAAAAATTAGCACAGTGCCTGGTTCATATATAATGTATAAAACCTACGTTCGGCTTGCTGTTTTCCATCATCAGAGAGAACTGGGGACAGCAGATGAGACTTGGGACAATGCTCCCAGGTCTCCTGAATTGGGTCAGGTGATACAAATTCATTGTGACCAGGTATTGGCTCGGCAAGAACAAACTGAGGAGGGTGAGATTTTGGAAAGGGCCTTACCACACATGTGACATGCTTGCCTACAACAATCCAAGAGTCCAGGCCAGAGGACAGTGAGGACACGGTTGCTGAGCAGCATGGGCCCTGTGTTAGGAGCGTATAAGGAGTTTTTACCTACAGATTCTCATTTAATACTGTAACCACCCTGTGAGTTGGGTAGGATTGAGAAACTCAAACCAACATGACATTTAGTGCTGCTTCATGCGATATCTAACCTAACATACACAATATCATTATTGTGATATTGGAAATATCACAGTGAAGAAGGGCAATATTAATATTTATGCTATTGGTATGTGTAAATTTCACAGAACCAATTTCGGAGAAAAAGATATGTGAGATGTAAAGAATAAGTTCCAAGAGGCACATTTTGGTCTCCTTGAGGGGTAAGGATTTAAAAATATTAATTGCCTCAGTTAACTCTTAAAAGCAGGAAGTACTCCAACTGTATGATGTGTCAATCGCTCTTCTGTACCAAGCATTACTTTGATAATCTCTCATGCTCTCTTCAAATTCCAGCAACTGGACCTTCACTCCTGCCCCAAGCCAATTGTTTTCATCATTCACTCCTTCCTGTCAGCTAAAATCACAAGACTGGGCCTGGTGGCCTGAACGGAGGGGCGACTGGCCTTTGAGGGAAGGAGGGCTGTGATGCCACCAGCAAGTGTGCCATCCATGTCGCATGCCACAGTCGGCTTTAGATGCCAGGAGCCCTGCAGTAACTGTCCCAGACTCCTCTTGTCAACCTCACCAACTAAAGGAGGTATCCTAAGAAGACACCACAGGGAGCTTCAGAATCAAACTGTCTTTTTAGAGCAGTAAACGGGTAAAGAGGAGAGGGTGCTGGGAAAAATACTCGGCATAGCTTTTGACAATCAAGGACGTTCCAGTAGAACAGCATGTGCAGATCTTAATCATAACAGTTTCTAGGCAACTGGTTCACCCAGGTAAGCAAGGGCTGAAATAGCAAGATGAGAAATGGACATTATCCTCTCTCCTGTCCTTTAATGACCCCATGTTGATTTTGATTTATCTCCTACTTCTGAGTTGACTCTCCCTGGAAAGGGGAGACAAGTCCTTTAAATGGAAACCCACCTTTTAAGTATGAAGCAGCTCTTACTTTTTTTTTTAGTGAATTATCTTTCGACGATGTAGAAAGATGCTGAAGTGTTCCATGAGCATATGCTGAGCAGGAATTGAAGCCCCAGACACTGATTTGAGGGGTAAGCTGGTGGAAGCTGAGCCAGCGGAGACTGAAAGATGCTTAATTCTGGGCTGCACTCACACCAAGGTCTGCCATTGTAGAGCCAAAACTGATAGCGTTATTTATAGAAAGCAAATTATGGATTTTTTTTTAATGATTGTCATTTGATAAATACGTATATATACAACTCATGTGGGGTTAACTAATTATCATAATTTTGTGGTTTTCAGTGGAAGCACTGAGCAATTTATTGACCCTTGTTCCTGCCTGTGCTTGTATGCATGTATTTTTGAACCAGTAATAGAGCAGCCTCATATCATTCTGGATGATCCTGGGTTTCACATATAGACCCAATATTATAATCAAATCTATTGATAGCATCCACAGGTCTTTCAGAATTCCAGGGATATAATATAATGACCTGATATTTTTCTACAAGAATATTTTCAGACACCACACAGCATATTACTGATCCAATGCTTTTATCTTTCAAAACAAATTAATTAAAAATACACCCAATACTTGATTTAGGAGCCACTTTCTTCAAACCCTGCAAATTAGCTCTAGAATTTCTATAAGCATTTGTAACCCTCTTTCTCATACAGTTTACATAGACAAATAGCCTGGGTTAGATATGTGTATGTGTTTGTGTGTGTGTTTTCAAAGTTGTATTTTGGGAAATACCTATGCAAAAGAGCTTTACAAAGTGGAAACTGTTCAAGGAATGTGATTTTGCTCACTCAGACATAAGTGTTTATTGAATTGCAAGATTTTATTTTAGATCAGCGCTTCCCCAGTATGTGTAACACTAGTTTCAAGGAGTACTGAGTGGTATCTTGTGGGGGTGGCACTAAGAGGTTGGGAATAAAAAATGTTTGTTAAATATGGAGTTAAGAAAAGTTAAACAGATTGCAGGCCTCCTCGGAGTCTTCAATTTACATTGCAGTTCTCCAAGGGGGTTCCATGTGCCATTCCCTACATTTGCCTACAGAACTCCGTTTTAACAGAGCATCCTGAGAAGTCTATGTTAAAACACACAAACACAGAAAAATAGGACATCCTGGGTAGCTCTTGTTACAAGAAAACAAACAAACAAAAACTTCGGAAAATACAGTTTTAGAACCTTGACTTTTTTTTGTTTGCTTGTTTCTTATTTTAAAATGCTGAAGAATGTCAAGTTCCAGGCTGACTATTGCAAGGAAAGCTTTGATGCATTTGTAAATTATGCTGCACTCTTTCATTATATATTTTCAAAATCACTGGAATGTTGTTATACAAGATAATTATACTTGTGATTGTAAATAACGTGTTAAATTAGATATATTAATGCTAATTGTTTAATACAACATGTAATCAAAGGTGCTCAGTAGTACTAGGATATGAAGTATTGAGTTACTTATAATTAAGTTGCAAAGATCCTATTATATATTTATAGACAAAGTAAAATGATCACAATTACAAATATGATTTCTTCATCACTTAAGTTTTGGACTGATTACTATCTGGGTGGGGAATCAACAGAAACTACATTCTCTGCATTTATAAAAACTTAATATATTTATATTTTAGAAAATATATTTGAATAAAATTAATGCATTTTCTGAATTAAAATGTGTTAACAAGAAATAGAAAATTTTACTGAGAATTGTATATATGAATAATTTTATTTTCTTCCAAGTTAGTGTATCATATCAGAATAGCTATGATGAATCAATTCCAAACACTCATTTTTTTCTCATTCTGAATGCAAATTACAATGACTCTACAGTGTAGATTGTAATCTTGTCTTGATGTGTGTTATGAGTGTTGTGAATGACACACTCATACGTCTGGGTCATGCCTGGTATAATCAAATCCATCAACTGAGTCATTTTGATGAATTTGTCTCTGCCCGACTTGCTCTGTGCTTAGTCCGTTTCTTATGTGAATCAATGAATTATTAAACTTGCAATGTTTGTCCTTTTAAGGTCAAACCAATAGAAAACAGGGATGTTTAACTGTACTTAGTGGGAAGCTACCCATTTGTTAGAGATTTGCTTGGGTGAAATACCTTTAAACCATCCCATAGGCATTTAAAGAAGGCCAGCAGGAATATAGGTACCAATATTTATTTTTTCTGACTTGAACTAAGTAGGAGAAACAAAACCATACACGTATTAAAAAAAAAGTATCCAGGCAGAGGCCTTAATTAATTCTATCAGTTGATGGAATTAAAAGGCTGAAAAAATGCATGCTCCTTTGTTTAAAAATGTATTGACCCTTCTTGGTTGAAATCAGAAGGAATGATCATAATGGTCAGAAGCACTCTCCCAAAATTAATGTGCTGGGCCTCTCTGGCCCTTGTTTTACAAATATCAGATATTCCATCTTTGAGGGGATTGGAGTGGGGTGAGGTGAGGGAGTGATTTTGAATGTACCTTGAGTTTTTAAAAATGTCCCTATGTTTATAACACAATGGATATCATGTAAAATTTATGTATGAGTTAAATAAATATTCACTTCTGAATATGGTGGACTGCCTGGTGGTCTCATGATAGCCACAGAGGGATATGGTTTTGTGTGAGCCCAGCCTATTCTCTTCCTAACACTGGCCTTTAGAAGGTGCTAATGGATAAAGGGGATGGCAATAGCAATGGGCTTTTGGTTTTGGTTTTGGAGTTGTGTATACTACGGTAGTAGTTTCAGGATGGGTCTTCACCTGGGGCTTAGGGACCCTCATTTTTAACTTAAGTTTTCATGGAATTCCCCCAAGCTCCTAATACTTGAAATCTGTAATGCTAGAACTTGATTTGGGTTTAAATTGCTTGTAATAAATGTAACAGGCTGGGGTTGAGAAGTCATTTTATTATTAGACAATTTAGTAATATTGAGATTACATCTAGAACTGTAGAATCTGTTTTGAAGAGACTTTGGAAGTCATCAAGCATATTATTGCCCAAAGTTTATGTATAATTTTAGCATTTTAGAGTATATGATTTGCTAGTAACATAACAATGCAGCAAATATACATAAAAATGAATTTAAACCAGTTAAAAATTTTAAAGTTGTGCCACCTAAAGTCATTCCACATACACTATGGTCGAAGTACTACATGTTCCTAAAAGTTAACCTTGTGTAGTAATCCAGTAAACTCAAAAGTTTCTTCCTGAACATATCTTTTAGGTGTTTACTCCACTGGAAATAAAAATTTTCCAGCTCTGGGCAGGGAGCTCCTTATCTCCGAGGCAGGCCGCTCCACTGGCCACAGTGCTTAGGAAGTGTTTAGATACTGAGAGTAAAACTTATGTGGCCACCTTTCACTCGTTACCCTATTCTACACTAGAAAACACTGAAAGCTCAATCTTTCTCATGTGAGTGTCTTATGTAAAAAGACAATTCAAAGTAGGTGACTACTACCCTGTTTCCCCGAAAATAAGACATCCTCTGAAAATAAGACCTAGCGCATGGAAAGATAATACATCCCCTGAAAATAAGACCTAGCACAACTTTGGGAGAAAAAATTAATATAAGACACTGTCTTATTTTCGGGGAAACAGCGTAGGTAGGAAGCCATGGGAAAACAAACAATTATATTCACCATTAGCTGATATACTAGTATATATAGGATGTCCAAAAAAAAATGTATGTACACACATTATGAATAACTATAAAGGCAGCATTTATTAAAATACATTTCATTTTCAAAACTGAACTGTTAATGTATATACTTTTTGGGGGAAACCTATATTTAGCAATAATTTGAAGGGCAATTTGGTAATATATATATATAAAAATGTAAAAAATACATGTACCTTTGAGACTTTATTTTAGAGATTAAGTGTACAAGTACTAATGTGTAAGGATCATCTTTGCAGCATTGTTTGTAATAAGAAACTGAAAAGATCAACATGACCATCAAGAACTAAATAACACATCATGGCCATCGATGCACTGGAATATTGTCTGACTGTTACAAAGAACAGCCCATCTCTAAGGGCTAATGTGGATGAATGTGTAAATGCAACTTGTGCAAAATGCAGATATAAATATAGATATTGTTTGCTTCTTAAAAAGTGGTCCTCAGGAGGAGCGGCATTGCTGGGGTTGGTGGAAATCTCTGCTGGTGATTTGCTGTCACAGTGACTGGGGAGAAGGGACACTGCTGGTATTTACTGAACAAAAGCCAGAGTGGGCAGGCTTCCTGCAGTGTGATGACAGTCCCTGCATCCAACGGAACTACTCTCCACATAATTTCTGGGTCCTGAATTATTCCTACAGGTGAAAATTGTGTTACCGTAATAATGACTTGAGCCTAGACCCTGACTACAGTTCACATGGAAAAGCCTTATTTTATTTTATTTTTTAATCTGATTCAATATATTTTGCGTTTTCTAGATATGCAACTTCCACGTTTATGGAAGGATGGATT